ACAACTAGCTCGAGAATATATAACGTATTTTTAGAATCCCATTTATAAATTTAATTGTTGTTACCATTTTCACAGTAAACAAGGTCCTTAAAAATGATTTGAGGATGGGAAATGATGGATTTCATAAGGGACAACATTATCTGTCAGTTTGGAATTTCAAAAGAAATTGCTTGTGACAATAGGCTACAATTTGTAGTTCCAAAGTCACAAAGTTTTTGGAAGGGTTGAAGATTAAGCGGATTACATCTTTGCCATACCACCCAAGTGATAACATACAGGTGGAGTCAACGAATTAGATAATAATTCAATACCTTAAAAAGACGTTAGAAGATGCTAAAGGCAATTGCCCGGGTGAGTTATCGAGTGTGTTGTGGGCATGTCAAACAACGTCAAAGTACTCGGGAGGTTAATGCCGAGAAGCTGGGACCAACATGGAAAGGATCTTACTAGATTTTCAGAAATAGCTACATGCATTTTATCCCACCTTATGATGCCTCGTGGCTTCACGTAATTCCCTTACCAGCAACACGCATATAATTACCACCTTATTTTCCACATGCACATTAACCCCTAACCCGATACCACCGCATGCGCGTCAATATCATGTCGTAATTACAATTCGCACCACAAGTGCCCATATGTCACAACTTGCCAACAATCACCAACATCAATATTTCCAAAACAATAACCCATGGATCCACCACAACATGTACAAGAATATCAACAATAACAATGACTGTAAAATTCTCAACAACAAAGATATCTCTACAATTAACTTAGCCTCAATGTGATACGACTTTCACAACTTCAACATCAATAACTCAACAATGAAAAAGATAATGAGCAACCACAAAACTAAATACAAATAACTCATAATGGAAGATATAACCTAACTTCAAATAAGAATAATAGCAATAAAAAAGATGACTTGTAACAATGACTTCAAATAATGACAATCAAGATAGAAAGAGACAACATGTAACAATAAAAGAGGCAACATGAACAAAAAAAAGAGGCAACAAGTTCAGCTAAAAAATAAGAGCAAATTATAAAGTAGGATGTAGAACAAGTGTTAAAAAAGTAATTTAAGGCATGTAAAGATAGACTAACACATGTAAGAATATATTGTCTATGAGAATTTAGAACTTGATGCAACATTTTAACTAAAGCATGGAAAGAGTCTAAGTAGCCTAAACTGGTCAATTACCACATACAACCCGTATACCCATTCGTCACCTTGTGTACACGGCTTTCACATAGCACAAATGACACAATCAATCTCAAATCTTAAGGGACACAAAGTTAGGCAAGATACTTATCTCAACTAGGCCAATTCAAGCCTCGGATATAGCTTTGCCCCTATAATTTGCCTCCACATGGCTCAAATCTACCAAAAAAACGACCTAATATCATCAAACAATGCAAGGGAAATCAATTACAATATATAAAGCTAGGATCTTTATACTTTTCTCAGAAAAGTCAACAAAAGTCAACTCGGGGCCCATCCGGTCAAAATGCTGGTCCAATGGTATATTCCGACTACCTATGACCCCACGAGTTCATATATGCTAGTAGTTTCAAAATTCGAGTCCAAATCGACTCTCAAAACTCATTTTTTATTTTTCAAAAACATGACAAAGTTTCACAATATTTCACTTTGTTTCACATGACGGACCTATTCCAACTCTAAATGATATCAAATTTTGCAAAAAAAAAAATAAATTAAATAGCATAACAGACGTATTCCATATCCAAAATCAAATTCCGAGCTCGATAGCTAAAAGTCAACCTACAATCAATCTTTCAACTTTAAATTGCCAAATTTTGGCAAAACAACCCAAATCTACCTACAGACTTTCGAAATCAATTCTGAGCATACGCCATGACTGAAATAACGATATGAAGCTTTTGGAGTCATCAACATACTATTCGGGGTCGTCTTTACAAAATTCAAAGTTTGGTCAATATTTCTAATTTAAGCTTCTAAGTCAAGAATCAAAGGGCCCAAAACAACCCTAAAGCTTCCTGGAACAAAACTAACAAACCTTGCAAGTCATAAAACCATAAACACACATGTGTGAAGTATCAAAATAGGAAACGAGGCACAATTACACAAAACGACCGGTCGGGTCATTACATTCTGCCCTCTCTTAAAACTAACGTTCGTACTCGAACGTGAATAAGGACATACCTGAAGTGATGAATAGGTGAGAATAACGACTCTGCATGTCATGCTCGGCTTGTCAGGTCACCTTCTCAACCAAACGACCCCCACAATTGATCCTTCGCTGAAGCAATGTTCTTTAATCTCATCTTTCGGACATGTCTGTCCCAGATAGCCACCAGCTCCTCAATATAAGTCAAATCTTTGTCCAATTGGACTGAGCTGAAGTTTAAAACATGAGATGGATCACCATAATACTTTAGGAGGATAGAGACATGGAACATTAGATGAACCACAGACAAACTAGGTGTCAATTCAAGCTTGTAAGTTACCTCACCAACCCTCTAAAAGATCTCAAAAAGATCCAATATACATAGTGATCAACTTGTCCTTTTTTCCGAACCTCATTACACTATTCATGGGTGAAACCCAGAGCAAAACTCGCTCTACAACCATGAATTCAATGCCACAAACTTTCTAATCCATATAAATATTCATTCTATATTAGGCTGTACGAAGCCGACCATGAAGTCGGAAAATCTCATGGATATAGATCTGAGCCAGCTTCTCTAAGGAATAGGTAGTCAGTATAGGAATGAAATGATCCATCTTGGTCAACCCGTCCATAATCACCCATACCACATCAAATTTATTTTGAGTCCGTGGGATCCCAACAACGAAGTTCATGTTAATACGCTTCCATTTTAACTTGGGAATCTAAAGTCTCTGAAGCAAATCTCCCGGCCGCTGATGCCCATACTTCACCTGCAGACAATTTAGGCACCGAGCTATATACTCCACTATGTCTTTCTTCATTCTCCTCCACTAATACTGCTGCCTTAAATCATGATACATCTTAGTGGCACCCAGATGAATGAAGTACTACGAACTATGGGCCTCCTCAAGAATCAACTCACGCAACCCATCCACATTGGGTACACATAATTGGACCTACATCTGCAACACCTCGTTATCTCTAATTGAAACCTCATTGTCATCACCGTGCTGAACTGTGTCTTTAAGGACAAGCAAATAGGGTTCATCATACTAACACTCTCTGATGATCATATAAAGAAGACAGAGAAATCATGCAAGCAAGAACTTGACTGGACTCTGAAACATCCAATCTAACATACTAGTTGGCCAAGGCCTGAACATCCATGGCTAGTGGCCTGTCTACTGCCGGTAGATATGCTAAGCTGCCCAAGCTCTCCGCCTTTCAACTCAAGGCATCGGCCACCACATTGTCCTTCCCAGGATGATATAGAATAGTAATATCATAGTTTTTAAGATTCTCTAACCATCACCGCTGCTTCAAGTTAAGATCTTTCTGTTTGAACAGATGTTGTAGATTCCGTGGCCGGTAAAGACCTCACAAGGGACACCGAACAAATGGTTTCGCCAAATCTTCAAAGCATGAACAATAGCTTCCAATTCCAAGTTATGGACCCTATAATTCTTCTCACGGGTCTTCAACTGTTGTGATGCGCAGGCAATCATTCTACCATCCTACATCAACACCGCGCCAAGTCCAACACGTAAAACATCACAATACACGGTATAAGACCCCGAACCCATAGGTAACACCAATAATGAGGTTGTAGTCAAAGCAGTCTTGAGCTTATGAAAGCTTGCATCACACTCCTCAGACCATCTGAAAGGAGCACCCTTCTAGGTTAATTTTGTCATTGGTGCAATAAAGGATGAGAAACTCTCTATGAAACAGCGATAATACCCGGCCATACCAAGGAAATTCCAAATCTTAGTAGCAAAAGACGGTCTGGGCCAACTCTACAATGCTTTAATCTTCTTCAGATCTACCTAGATCCCCTTACTCAACACCACATGACCCAAAAAGCCACTGAATTAAGCCAGAATTCACACTTTGAGAATTTTGCATACAACTTCTTTTCACTCAAGGTCTGAAGTACAATATTTAGGTGCTTCTTATGATCTTCCCGGCTATGGGAGTAGACCAAGATGTCATCAATAAACATAATGAAGAATGAATCAAGATATGGATGGAATACATTGTTCATCAGGTGCATAAATCTTACTAGGGTGTTGGTCTGCCCAAAAGACATCAAGTTTCTCGTAGTGACCATACCGAGTCCTAATGAAAATCTTTGGAGTATCTGGATACCGAGTCTTTAGCTTATGATAATCTAACCGCAAATCAATCTTTGAGAACACTCTGGCACCCTGTAATTGATCAAATAAGTCATCAATGTACAGTAATGGATACCTGTTCTTCACTATAACCTTGTTCAACTGTCGATAATCACTACAGATGCACATAGAACCATCCTTCTTCTTCACAAACAAGACCAAAGCACCCTATGACAACACACTAAGATGAATGAAACCCTCATCAAGTAACTCTTGCAACTGCTCCTTTAGCTCCTTCAACTCCGCTAGGGCCATACGATATTATGGAATAAAAATGGGATGAGTGCGTGGCAACGAGTCAATACTAAAATCGATATCCCAATCGGGCGGCATGCCTAAAAGATCTGCTAAATATATATCTGAGAAGTCACTCACTACCAGAACTGACTCAACGGTAGGAGTATCAGCACTAAGATCCCTCACAAAGTTTAGATAAGCATCACACCCCTGCTTAACAATCCGCTGAGCCTTTAGAAATGACACAAACAGGCTAGGAACATAATCCAATGCACCTCCCACTCTAGCTATGGCAAACCTAGCATAGCCAATGCCATATTTTTGGCGTGATAATCAAGAATAGCATGATAGGGTGAAAACTAGTTCATGCCCAAGATAACATCAATGTATACCATACTAAGTAACAATAGATCAAATCTGGGTTCAAAACCACTAATAACAAATAACACGACTGATACACACAGTTCACAATAATAAAATCTCCCACAATCATGGACATATAAACAAGAGAACTCAATGAATCATGAGATATACCTAAATACAGAGAAAAATAAGATGACACAAATGAATAAGTGGATCCCGGATCAAATAAGATTGATGCATCTTAATGGAAAACCTGAAACATACCTATAATGACTGCGTTTGAAGCAACTGCCTCTGTCCTACCCGGAAAAGCATAAAATCTATCCTGGCCCCTCCTTTAGGGGGACCTCTACCCGCCTGTTCCCTAACCCTAGCTAGCTGTGTGGGTGGAGCGATAACTGGGGTAGAAACTATGGCCTAAGAAGTCTGTAGACCTGACTGAATCCGTGGAGCCTAAGTAGTCTGTAGAAGTGCACCCCTCATATGTCTAGGATAGTATTTAACAATGTGACGGGTATTACCACACTCAAAGAAATCTCTTAATAGGCATGGCTGTTAGGATTGGCTCGGTCTTGATCAGCTGGACTGACCGCTGAATGCACCCCGTGCAGGAGGTGTACTAGAAAATGGCTGAGCAAAGTGTGCAACCTAAGATCTCGGAATAACCAAAGCACCACTAGAAGCTGGAAGTGCTGAGTGAACTGGTTGGCTCACATAACCTCTACCATGATGGGTTGTAGCTATAGCATGGCTACCACTAAATCCTCCAGTATCTCAAGGCCTCTTGACCTCCCTATCCTCTCTCTCACGAGCCCGCATACCCTCCAACCTACATGCAATCTCTACCACTTTCTTACATGGGGTATCTGTCTCTAACTCTCGATCTATAATGAATCTAATATCATAATTGAGCCATTCAATGAATCGACAGACTCGCTATCTGATTGTATAAACCAAAGAAGGGGCATGTATGGACAAATCACTGAATCAGATCGCATACTCTAACACTATTATTGTCCTATGGCGTATCAGCTCAAACTCCATGCCCTATACATCCCTAAAGGCCTAAAGAACAAACTCTCTCAAGAATAACTCGTAAAACTGAGTCCATGTAAGTGAAGCTACATCGGCTGGGCTACCCTCCTTGTACACCCTCCACCACTGATATGTTGCTCATGACAACTGGAAAGTAATAAAAGCAATCCTGCTAGTCTCCACAATACCCATTGTGTGGTAAATACGGTGCAACTCCTCTAAAAACTCATATGTATCCTCTGAATCCAAACAACTGAAAGTAGGTAGGTGATACTTCTTGAACCTCTAAAGTCTAAGCTACTCCTCCTCAAATACAGCTGCCCTAAATGCTGGCTGAACTGGAACAATATGTTGTACTGGTATAACCTTTGAGACCTGATCAATATGGACCCGCTACTCTGGGGTATGGGTCGCGGGAGTGTAAGCTCCTCCAAAGCCTGAGATGTGGCTGCTACAAGTGGAATCAACCTTACCTGAGCTAAGGTACCAAACTTATTCAAGAACTATGCAAGGGTCTCCGAAAGTGCTGTGGTGGCGATAGGTGCCTTGGGTGTCTGTCCCCCTATTGGAGCTACTAGTGACTCCTCTGTCATAGCTCGGGTAGGTGCTTTGGATGCACCACCTGCCCACCTCGTCCTCTACCTCGGACCCGGCCCAGGCTTCTTGCGGCTCTAGCAATGGGTGCGGCTGCCCGATCGTTGGATCCAGCAGTGCGTTTCCTCATCATCTGTGAGAGAATAAATAATCAAAGATTAAGATTTCGGAGTCAACAATCTCACATGATAAGGAATCAAAAAAGTGAAGTTTTCCTTATAGTTTTGTAGCCTCTCGAAGATAAGTACAGACGTCTCCGTAGCGATACCCAAGACTCTACTAGACCTGCTTATGACTCGCAACACCTTTAAACCTAGGGCTCTGATACCAACTTGTCATGACCCGATTTCCCTCCATAGGATGTTTTGATGGAACCTAGTCTCTAAGACTAGGTAAGCCTAACATGCATAGAGAAATAGCAGAAATACTACTAAAACTTCAAATAAAACCTTCATACTATAATGGTAACTCGAAAGTACAATAGCCAAAAAGTTTCCCAAAACCTGGTGGAATAGAGGCATATGCTCTACAAGATGGTACTACAAGTCTCGAACTATAACACTGTTTGAAACAAGAAGAAATTGTGGAATGTCTAAAATAGAAGGGGACTTCGAGGTATGTGGATATGGAGTTGGTATACCTTGAAGTCTCCTAATGTCGCAACATTAATCAACTCTAGTGTCCGACATTGGAAGACATATATCGATCTGCACAAAAATATATGAAGAAGTGTAGTATGAGTACACCACAATGGTACCAGTATGTATAAAGCCTAACCTCGTTAGAGTAGTGACGAAGATAGGTCAATACACCTAATAGGATATAATAAATAGAATGAAAACATAATAACAAGAAGTAACAGATAGTAGAGCAAGTAATAATATGAAGCAAGTTAATAACATAGACTAATGAAAGGATTGTAAGCATAGAGATAACATATGGGAAACAATTGAAGGGAGCCACAATGTTCATATACAGATAATAACTGATAGAAAAATGAAGAACAAACAACAAGATATGTTCCCACCCAATAACTCTTAACGACACGAGATAAATAACAAGAATCACAATGAGGTACCACCTTGTAAACAATAAGAATCACCACCGAGGTACCACCTTGTATATACCAAGAGTCACAACTGAGGTACCACCTTGGATACTCAATTCACAATCTCAATCGCAATCTTTCCTTATACCGCCGCGTGAGTTTACATTTAAATAGATTTTGAAAACATTTTTCCGAAATAGATACACGCACTTTAGCCCACCTTATGATGTCCTGTGGCTTCACTGTCACACCTCCTTTTTACCTACACCCCGTAAGGAATTTATATAAGGGGGTTTTTCCAATTAAAGGACAATCGAAACGAGATCATATTACTAAAAGATTCAGAGTCACCACTTGGGATAATTTTATGGTGTCCCAAGTCACCGGTTCAAATACCGAATCGAGAAAAATATTGCCTCTGTTTAACAGTCCGCTAACCAAAAATTCGAGTAAGAAATTCTGTTAACCCAGGAGAAGGTGTTAGGCATTACTGAGTTCTGTGGTTCTAGCACGGTCGCTCAACTGTTATATTCGGCTTAATTATCTAATTTTAAATAATTATGAACCTATGTGCAAATTGTAGTTTTAACCGTTTTATTCATTTTTTAAAGAAAATTGCAACATTATTAAATCACGTCTTGAACAATGTCACATAAATGCACCCGTGGTTTTTGACATATTTTAACATCATTGAGATCTGGATTTGGGTCACATAAATGTGCACCCGAATTTTGGAAGGTAAGTTATTAAAATAACGCGCCTAAAGCAACTACGCGTTTGCAACTTTGCGAGGGCCATGGAAATTCGCTAAATGGCACGCCTCGATTCCTAAGGATAAAACATTAATCAAACTAGGGCCGTGCAATTGAAATTTTGTCTGGCACGGAACACCTTGATTGTAATTTTAAAGGATGTTTCGAACTAAGCTTTTAAGGGCCATAAACTATATCTTATTTAATATGGTACGCCTCAACTTTCTCCTAAAGAAGATATACATACTCAATTATATCTACCGAACACAATCGAATTCGATAAATATTGACATGCTATCTCTTTAACATATCCTAATAATTATCAGTAACACTTATTACTACCATATATGATTTAGCAATGGAATAAACTTATCCTTCAGAAGATCGACAAAATGAAGCTAGACATTTCAAGCTTCGTACCCGTGGGTTTAATTTTGATAAAACTAATCAAATTCCAAATACAACACAATGGCTATTTGAAATCAGTCAAATTCCTCTGAGCATAAACCGAAACCAAACGGCCATCTACTGTTCTATTCAGCTTCAAGTACAAGTAGCAACACGACAACATAATTTCAGTAAGGAAAACTCGAGGAAAGAATAAGTAGCACACAGACCTAATTGAACAAAGAAGATATGCCAACATCTGATTTTAGCAAGAGCAATTTAACCAATCAAATGCAACGAAAAATAAAATCAAAATTTTGAATGATGAACATATATTCAGTATCAATCAAATAATGATATTAGTATTCATGAGTTGTTCGAGTTCCCACAAAAAAAAACCTCCTAAATACATACATTTAACACTTCAAAGAACAAGCAACAGTGCAATTCTTAAATGTGCTGACTACTGTTTTTAATACCCTAGCAAAACAACGGACAGAAATGGCGAAGCCAAATGCCTCGCACTCCAAGTCATCATCAAACAACCTTGTCATGAAATACAAACAGAAACATTACCTCAAGATAAATTCCATGTGATAAAATTCATCATAGATTTGAATACTCAATGCTAAACTAAGAACAGATTCAAACAATTCATATTTCTTCAAGTTTCAAGAGATTCCGTCGGAAAACTTCAACACACACACAATCGGACACAGAATGCAACAACACCAACAAGTAGCTTCCAGATTCAATCAAATTTCAAACATAGAGATAGAGACAGAAAGGAAAAGAGATTAACCTGAGCAATATTTCTTTAGTTAGTTCAATTTCCAAGCCATTACAAGTCAAATTCGAATTTCAGTAGTAACAGGGAACTCCCACATGAACTTCTTCAAATTTCATTCACATGATGTCCTTGAACCGTAGAACCAAAAACTTCACCGGAGACCTCGAACAGAAATTACCAACCAGACACAAAACTCGTCGGAACCGCGACAAAATTCAGAAACGGACCTTGAATCGGCACCTCTGATTTGCTCTATTTTGGACGATACCTTTCGGACTGTTTCACGGAGATTTTATCTGGTTTAGTGGCCGAAGAAGGTGAAATCAGGGGGTGAGGTCGTTTTTGGGTGTTAAGCGGCGGATCCTTTTTGGTGTCACGGCTGAAGGGTCTGATTTTTGGGGAATTTTCAAGGTGATGAAGACGGTTGATGCTCGTCTTTGATTGAAGAAGAAGAATCCCCTTTCCTGATTGTATCTGTGTGTGTATATTCCGAGTGAGGACGAAGCCATGCTGGGAGGGGGGTTTCCTCTATGTAAAGCTGTGCTATTGTTCTTTTGTCTATATCATGCCTTTTTTTTTTGATTTTTTAAGCATTAATTTATAGGTAGAGTCTAGGTTTAGGTGTATTTTTGTGTATTTTGCCCATTAGTCCCTGGGTCTTTTATGTTAAGTCCTTAGGGTCTTCTTTATTTGTTTTTTTTGTTCCAAAGAAGAGTCTAGAAGGGTCCCTAGGCTTAATGGACTAATCTGAATTGGGCCAAGAATTGGGCTCTAAAACTCTTAAAATTGTGATCCAACACCCTAATTGACTCATTTTAAAGTAAGATAAAAATACTACCCCATGCAAAAGCTAACATAAATCTATTATATATATTTTTTATTTTCAAAATTATATACAGATGAAAATATGGTTCTATTTTTGTATTGTTTTTTGAAAGATACATACTAAAATATTTTTTTTGTAATTTTTATTTTTCTTGCAATAAAATAAAATAAAAGAGTAAAAATGAGTTGAAATAGCTATATTAGGCCTAAATTAAATATTTTACGCTAAAATATAAAAAATCTTGGGGAGGGTCAAAAATCACATGTCTACAGCTACCCCTCTTTGACTGGAAACGCGAAGCGTTTTCGGACAAAGAATGACTAGACAGGTATTTGACCCGCCCCTTATTTAAAAAAAACCAAAGCTAAGAGAAAAGGGGAATGTGACCGAGCCCTGGTATCTGAGCTGTCTACATATCCTTGGCTATAAAGGAATCAGGCCACGTGTAGTTCAGAGATGAATGAGATGACGGAGTACCGAGGTGAAGAGCCGATCGAGGTGCCGTTCCGTTGAGGTTCTGGTCCGCGTTCCTGTTATTACATCAAAAATCAAATGAAAAAGACTAACTAAGCCTTTCAACTACGAGTTACAAGATTCCTATCAAGAAGTCTTCTGAAGCTTGATCTTGAGTCTTGAATGGTTCTTCATGCAGACTTTAGATTGGAACCTTGGCGCTTGTTAGCTACAGGTGCTAGCTCGTTCTTCTTCAGCTTTTTGGATCAAGACCGGACATGTAGTGCTTGTGACTTCCACCATGTCTTAAGCAGTTCACATCTTCCATCAACTTCTGCATTTGGATTCACTTTTTGCCTTTCTCTCTTTTTTCTTTATTGTGACTAACTTTTGTTGATCACTTCGGACTGTTGACTCGCATTATTGCCGTGAGATTCTTTGGTTGTTGACTTGAATTGCAATCTGAGATGCTTTTCCTTTTCTTCAAGTGGACACCTGATTGTTGAACTCGAACTGTATTCCCTTGCTCTCCAAGTGGGCTCCTGACTGCTGAACTTGAATGTATTCCCTTGCTCTCCAAGTGGGCGCCTGATTGGATGAACTTGAATTGTATTCCCTACTCTCCAGGCGAGCTCCTGACTTCAACAAAATAGACAAAACAAAGAATATTTTCTGCCCCCGTTTAGGTATCTAGGCACACATGTAAGTGTAAAACGGATCATATTACCAAATATCAATGAGAACTTGAAAGCTAAAACATGAATTGTACTCCCTTGTTCTCTAGGTGGGCTCCTAATTGCTGACTTGAAATGCATTCCATGCTCTTCAGGCAGGCTCCTGACCGCTGACTTGAAATGTATTCCCTGTTCTCCAAGCGGGCTCCTGACTTCTAAACTTTAAATGTATTCCCTGCTCTCCAGGTGGGCTCCTGACTGCTGACTTGAAATGTATTCCCTAATCTCCAGGCGGGCTCCTAACCGCTGACTTGAAATGTATTCCCTGCTCTCTAGGCGGGCTCCTGACTGCTGACTTGAAATGTATTCCCTGCTCTCTAGGCAGGCTCTTGAATTCAACAAAATGACAAAAACAGAGGAAATATTTCTGCCCCAGTTTGGTGGCTAGGCACAGATGTGAGTGTAAAACTAATCATATTACCAAGTATTACTAAGAATTTGAAAGCTAGGTCCCATTATCCAGGGGGTCCTGACAATTCAAACCTAAACGACAATTTTAAATCTAAGTTATATCTTCTAAAGGTGCGACTTATGCTAAATCTTCTTATCTAAGAGGGTCTTTAAACTAATTCCCATTATCCAGGAGGGTCCTGAAAATCAAAGGTCAAATTTTATCTTAAGAGTGACAACTTTTATGGGTGAATTATACTAACCTACAACAGAATTTATGCTAAATGTTGTTATCTAATCGAAATCTTAAAGCTAAGTCCCCTTATTCAGGAGGGTCCTGAAAACTCCTAATTGAATCTTATCTCGAACATGCAAAATTCTAAACCTGCTTATATTCCTTTGGGATACATTTCTGCTAGATTATGTTATTTCTAAGCTTTACGCTAGGTCCCATTTTTCAGGAGGATCCTGAAAATCAAAAATCAAACCTGTTTGGTGACTGCCTTTCTCCACGGAGGGTTCTTCGAAGCAATCAAAATTTCCTGCCCCTGTTTAATCAAAGAAAAATCTTGTCAGTTTAAGATGTGGTGGTTAGTTGATGGCATTCTTGTTGAAGGTCTCTCCGTTGCATTGTTTGTTTTGACTGGCTTCCCGCACTGGCCCTGAACCGCTTGACTTTCCAACTAACTTTCAAAACGCCATGACTTTGGATGACCCGAGTATTCTGAACCCGAACAATTGTTTCACACCTTTGACCCCTCTACCTGAACCTCTGCATATCCCATGAAATTACTAAATCATTCTGCTGGTGAAACTTTGCTGGCACTTTATTCCACTTCACATCATGTTATTTTTGGTATGCTCTGGCCACACTGTGCTTTGCAATCTTGAGGCTAATAGTGATCTTTGAAATTCTTTCTTATTTGATTAAACAGGACTGACATTGGGAACATCTTAGAAAAATATACCCAAAAGAAATGCAATGCAATGACTTAGAGAGTTAAGGATAAGAAAATCCAAAACTGGAAGACTAACTGAAGGGGAAAAAGAAAAAAGACTTATCTGAGTGGAACAGCTGGCACCAATGATCATGACATGCATTTCGAATTAGTCCGCCCATTCTGTCCAACCAAATCAGCTTCCAGTCGCCATACTTTGCTGCCTCAGAGTTTCCATAACCTGATTTCTTTACCAAAACCTTGGCCTTGTTCGGCCTGCGGTGCCGTGAGGGGTTTTCACCAACAAGCCTCTCTCATTTTTTGATTTCTCTCAGCTCCCGTCGCCTTATGGTGCCCGTGAGGGTTTTCACCAATAAGACTCTCTCATTTTTTATTTCTTTTTCCTATTTGGACCAGAGTGTTGCCCCTGATATGAATCACCTCTACCTACTTGACTTGGCATTTTTCGAAGACTGATCGGAAGGTCTTTCTTTGGACCATAATGTGGCTTTTGGATGGGTTTAGAAAGAAAGGGTATAAAAAGCTCAAAACAATTCGAATGGGTTCAAAATTACAACTTTCGGAATCAGATTTCTGCTAACAACCACAACTTTTGCCCCAGTTTCTTGTTTGGGGACTTTTGGATTTTTACTTTGATGGGACCGAACTGTGAGGCTGCCTACTTATCCTTAAAAAGAATCAGGTCGAACATAGTTCATGACATAGGAGTTGCTCTGTTGTTGTGATTTTTCTTTTTCTCTTTCTTTGCTTTCTCTTTTACTTTCTTTTCTCTTTTGTTGTTTTTCTTCTTCTTTTTTTCTTTTCATTCTTTTCTTTCTTTTCCATTCTTTTCTCTCTCTTCATTCTTTCCTTTCTATTTTTCTCTCCTTCCTTTACTTATCTTTTATGCTTGTGTTTCCGATATTTGCTTCTGATTTCGAAAGAGGGGTATGAAAGAAAATAAATAAGGCTCAAAAGGGGTGACAAGGGATAAAGTGTATAGATAGCATAACAAAATGCTTTCGTCATTTCAACATTCAAAACATGCCAAATACAAACAAGTACAACCAAACAAAGAAGTCATACATAGTATCTCTTGACTGCATCAGAATTGATAGCCATTTCTACACATTTGCCTTCTACATCTGTCAAATACAATGCACCATTGTACAACACTCTAGTTACAACGAACGACCCTTGCCAATTTGGGGCGAACTTTCCTTTTGCTTCAACCTGATGCGGAAAAATGTGTTTCAATACTAACTGACCCACTTCAAACTTTCGTGGACGCACCTTGTTATTGTATACTCTTGCCATTCTCTGTTGATACAACTGGCCATGACATACTGCCGCCAGTCTCTTCTCATCGATCAAACTTAATTGCTCCAGACGGGTTTTGACCCACTCATCATCATCAATTTCAGCCTCTACGACATTTTAAATGGATGGGATTTCCACTTCTGCGGGTATTACTACTTCCGTGCCATACACCAACAAATAAGGAGTCACCCCTACTGAATTTCGGACAGTAGTGCGATAACCCAGCAACGCAAATGGCAGCTCTTCATGCCACTGCCTAGAACCCTCCACCATTTTTCGAAGTATCTTTTTTATATTCTTGTTGGCTGCTTCAACTGCTTCGTTTGCCTTAGGGAGGTACGGGGTAGAATTGCGATGTGCAATCCTGAACTGCTGACATACCTCTTTCATCAGATGACTGTTGAGATTAGCCTCATTTTCTGGAATGATCACCTTTGATATCCCAAACCGGCAAATGATATTTGAGTGCAAAAAATCAACCATTGCCTTTTTGTTTACAAACTTGAATGTTTTAGCCTCTACCCACTTGGTGAAATAATCAATGGCCACCAGAATAAACTTGTGCCCGTTGGACGCTGCTGGCTCAATTGGTCCAATGACATCCATTCCCCAAGCAACAAAGGGCCACGGTGCAGACATCGTGAGTAATTCAGATGGTGGAGAATGAATCAAATCTCCATGCACTTGGCACTGATGACATTTACGCACGAAATTGATACAATCTCGCTCCATAGTGAGCCAATAATAACCTGCTCAGAGAATCTTCTTTGCCAACATGTACCCACTCATGTGCGGTCCACAGACTCCAAAATGTACTTTGGTTATGATAGCTATAGCCCGCCTAGCAACTATGCATCTCAGCAATCCAAGATCTGGAGTTCTTTTGTACAACACTCCTCTACTAAAGGAAAA